CCTCCTCCTCATTTTTATTGTTTTCCCTCCTCCTCCTCCTCCTCATTTTTGATTTCCCTCCTCCTCCTCCTCCTCCACCTAATCATTTTTATCGTTTTTCCTCGAAAAGGCCAAGAGGCTAAAATCAGACTCAGATGTGATGGTCTGATTTTAGCCTTTTGGCCTTTTCGAGGAAATACGATAAAAATGAGGAGGTGGAGGAGGAGGAGGAGGAGGAGGGAAAACAATAAAAATGAGGAGGAGGAGGGAGGAGGGAAAACAAAAATGAGGAGGAGGAGGAGGGAAAACAATAAAAATGAGGAGGAGGAGGAGGAGGAGGAGGGAAAATAATAAAAATTGTGGAGGAGAGAATAAAAACATTACGGAGGGAAAATAATAAAATTGTGGGGAAGGGATTGAGGAGAGAGATAAAATTGAAAAGGGAGAGGGGTAAGTAAAACATTGTATTTCGTGCTAAAAAGAGCTAGTTTGTCTTTGCCCTCATTAATATGCACGATTTGCCCGCCAAAAGTCAGTGAACCGGAACTAGGACAATCACAGCAGCAGGAAATAGGACTTGAATAATTACATTACGCCTCCGTGATTTTAAGTCACAGAAAAGTTTAGAATGCTTCGTCAAACGAGACAGCCAATGAGCGTCTTTCAAATTCCGGTCAACCAATCAAAACAACTATGACATCATAGTACCTCGGAATACATATGACATCATCTTCCGAAAATAACTTAAACCTGTCAAACCGGTTATACCAACCATGACCGCCACAAGATAAAAATAGAACATGACATCATTGATAAACCCGTCAAACTGGATATATCTAATGAGATTCCACCGCAAGTTAATGAGAATCCACCGCATTTTATTCATGAGATCAAGACAATAGCCTATGACGTCACCTAGTTAATGTATTCCTGCGCACGCTAATGAGATTCCTGCGCAAAAAAGGGGCCTAACCGGTCCCTCCTATACTACTGCCATCTTTATCAAAAATGCGCATTTACTGCACTGGAATTACGGGAAACAAAAATTAAAATTCACTGACATATTCTTTTTATATATATTCAAATTAGCCGTACTAGCTTTGTTCTTAAGTGCAAAATTCCAAAGAATACTTTATCTCAGGGGGGGTTAATCAGGCTAATGTTAATTTAACTAAAA